GGAAAGAGAGTTGGAAATAATTTGTATTATACTCAGGGTTAAGAACGTATTACCTCATAAAAATAATCGTTACACCGGTACTTGTAAAAAATAATTCACCCATACAGCACCGATTGTTGCGGAAAATTTTCAGAAAAAATGTTTCAACCTTTCATATCTCACGTGCAACAATTCTGAAAGGAATTTGGAATATGTCATATGAAATGTTTTAACAGAAATGTTTCTAAAATCTATCATACAACAAATTAAAAAACATATTTAAACGGAACAAAAAATTATCATGATGTTAAAATGACTTCAAAATGTTTACTAAAAGTCATTTTTTAATCAATTACAATTTAGTTTAATGTTATTTTGATGTTATCGTGAGTTTTTCTACTTTAATTGAGAAAAACTTTTGTATACGAATAATGATATTGTGTATGGTGTGGAAACTGCAGATGTAAGTGACTTTCTATCTTTCTAATAGTGATTATGTATATACGTGCTTATACATATAATGTGATTAATTAATCAAAATATTTGGCGATATAATTACCATTTTTGAGAAATGATTACAAAACTCTTAATAATTTTAAGTACTTAAAAAATGATATTTAAATATATAGTTTAATTGATAGTTAAATAATATTTGTTATGTCAACATAATAAATTAAGCCAATGGCACATACAAAAAAACGTAAAGCCGTAACACGTAAGCAGTAAGGAAATCGTAAGATTGAATTCGCTACTGGCCTTACAGTCTCTATCCGTGATTGGCCAATTCGCTTACTGATTACGTCTTACGGCCTTACATCTTTATATATGCCATGGGCTTAAGTTGTGAAACTGGGCCTAAGGATGGTTGCGTTCAGCAGAACGTTTGTTTTGCAACTGTTGGAAGTTTCCTTCGCGCTAATTGGATCATACTTTTAGATCTAGAAGAATGGTCCTATCTCAGCAGACAATCATAAAACGGTTGCAAAACTGTTGAGTCTGCTGAACGCAGCTATTGTATCTTGGGCTTAAGTCCGGATTTACAATAGGGGTTTTAGCCTTAAGCCGTAAGAAATTGACCAATTACAGTCGAATCCGAGGAGAATAATCGACTGTGATTCATCCATTTCTTATGGCTTAAGGCTTAAAACATTCTCTGCTGAACGCAGCCAATGTATGAGCGAATAGAAAGAAACAGAAAACGAGATGGGTAGAGTCCTACATATAAAGAGAAGCGACATTGACGTCCAAGTTTCTGATTGGCAGTCTGATACGTATTCTGATTGGGTGTCCCCTCCTAAGTGAAGCAGCCATATTGTGACCACAGCTGTTTACACAGCTGACACACGTGGCCGTCGACCACGTTGTTTGCACTATTTAATGCGTTATATAAGCCTTAAGTAATTGGTTAATTTTTTACCCCGGATCTACAATAGGTGTTTTAAGACTTAAGCCGTAAGAAACTGACCAATTACAGTTGAATCC